GGGCCCAGGCTGGGGATTTGAACCTGCCACCTTAGGTGTTTGTGGCTGGTGCCTTAGCTGCTTGAGCCACAGGCGCCGAGCCTGGTCACCCTACTTTAGAGTGAACTTAACTTTATGTATTCTAGGTAACTAATAGCAGTGTATGTACTTTATTGTTTCAAAATTTAGACTTTGATGCTGACCAAAAAAAAAAATGATAAGAAGAAGAAAAAATTTATATTTTCAGGCAAAGTGATACAAAGAAATTTTATGAAAACTCACATTTTGGAATGCCCTGCCTAATGAAATATATGATACTTCCTTTGTCAATCATAGAATCCCAATTTAGAACAAGTGGGAAAATATTAAGATTAATGTGGTTACTAATATTTTCACATATTTTTAAATTCTCTAGTTATTTTTATTTCTAGTTAAATCTTTACTCTTAAAGGCTCTTGGGCATTCATTGGATTTTGAATCTATGTGTTTGTGAAGGCATTGCTACCTATGTGAATTTCAGATAAGGAACGATGTGCTGAACTGAAGAAAGCCTTGTGTACTGCCCATGAGAAGTTCTGTTTCTGGCCAGACAGCCCCTCTCCAGGTACTTATTTCTCAGAATTCCCATTTACCATTTTGCCTTGGTCCTTGCATTTCTAATATTGTCTATTTCTTTGTGAAAACTGAGTCTTTGGAATTTATTTTTCTTCTTTTCAATTTGGGCTTTTCAAGAAGAACTTACATTCATTTATGTTACTAATTTATTGAGTGCATTTGACATACCAAAGGCTTAATTATTATTGTGCTTAATCCTTTCAGGGGCCCTGTGGGGTAGACATTATCAACCTACTGTTTTTTAGGCCAGGAAACTAAGAATCAGAGGTATTAAAACTAACTAGAGAGAACTCATAACTACGATTTTATCTAATTGCAAACCCTCTGCTTACTATACAAAGCAACCTCATGTTCTAGAACCTAGGCTTCTTTTAGACTAAGGTGCACTAATGATGGCAGTTAAAGAGGGTTTGGTTGCTAAAGAAGACTCACAAGACTCCCAATTTATTTTTTTTTTTTGAGACAGAACCTCAAGCTATTGGCCTAGGTAGAGTACTGTGGTGTTACAGCTCACAGCAACCCCCAACTCCTAGGCTTAAGCAATTCTCTTGCTTCTCCCAAGTAGCTGGGACTACAGGTGCCCACCACAACACCCGACTATTTTTGGTTGTAGTTGTCATTGTTTAGCAGGCCTGGGCCGGATTTGAACTCCCTGGCTCTGGTGTATATGGCTGGCACCTTAGCCACTTGAGCTACAGGCACCACCCCATAAGATGCCCAAATTAGAGTGATTACAAACTGGGCACAATGTCTTAGCACTCTGGAAGGCTGAGGCAGAAGTATCACTTGAGCTCAGGAGCTCAAGACCAGCTCTGAGCCAGAGTGAGACCCCCATCTCTACTAAAAATAGAAAAAGTTAGTGCCAGCTGCTCACAAGGCCAAGGCAAGAGGATTGCTTGAGCCCAGGAGTTTAAGATTGCTGTGAGCTGTAATGATACCAAGGTACTCCAGCCTGGGCAACAGAGCAAAAGACTCTTATCTCAAAAAAAAAAAAATGATTACAAACCTGCAGTTTATTATGGTAAAATAGTACACGATAACAACAGCTCTTTTGAGGCCAGCCTGGGCAACATAGCCCTATCTCTAAAAACTAAAAAACAGTACTGAGTAAGGGTATCATCATAGCCAAAAGCTGCCTAAGCTAGTGGTCTGGAGAGGCTTGGTTCAAGCTCGTATTTTCTCTCTGTATAAGGGCCATAGCAGGGCACTTGTCATCAGGTGCTGCTGAAGTGTACACAGAACATTTTGGAATAACAGAGCCCAAAATGTAGTCTTAACTGGGATTCTTTTATATTTTATTGATCAAATAAACATATTTCTGCTAAGCATTAGCTTCTATAGCAGAGCCCTCTGGTGGGGAATCACACCAAGACCCAGTACAAAATTCTTCAGACCATTAGTTAAAAAACACCATTTATCTGTGTATTTCATGCCTTGATCAGGGATCAGTGCCTTTTAGGCATTTTTTATTTAGTAGGACAGCTCAGGCTAATTCCAGGGTCAGTGATAGCTAGGAATATTCCATGAATGGCAACTAAGAGGAAAAAATAGATTGACAGTAACCAGAGATTGCTATCTATCTCTGATAAATGAAGGGGTAGCAGAAAAGGGATTTTTTTTTTTTTTGCATTTTTTGGCTGGGACTGGGTTTGAACCCGCCACCTCCGTCATATGGTGCCGCCACCCTACTCCTTTGAGCCACAGGTGCCGCCCCAGAAAAGGGATTATTAAGAAAAAAAAATAGTTAAAGTGAAGATGGTTGTATAATAAGAATTACCTGCTGTTGACTGAGCTATTTTACAGTATAGTATAACAAAACTTAGTCCTAGGAAGATTTGAATCCATTCCTGTCCAATGCACTGCAAGTTCTTTTTTTTTTAGAGACTGGGTCTTGCTCCCTTGCTCAGATGAGTGTAGTGGTATATTCATAGCTCACTACAGCCTCAAACTCCTAGGCTTAAGCGATCTTCTTAGCTCACCCTCCCAAGTAGCTGGGGCTACAGACACATGCCACCACACCTAGCTAATTTTTTCGTGTTTTATTTATTTATTTTAACTTTTTTTTTTTTTTTGAGACAGAGTCTGTGTCGCCCTGGGTAGAGTGCCATGATATCACAGCTCACAGCAACCTCAAGCTCTTGGGCTTAACTAATTCTCTTGCCCCAGCCTCCCAAGTAACTGGGACTGTAGGCGCCCACCACAATGCCCGGCTATTTTTTGGTTGCAGTTGTCTTTGATGTTTAGCTGGTCTGGGCTGGATTCGAGCCCACCAGACTCGGTGTGCTATAGGCATTGAGCCTATGTGGGGTTTTTTTGTTGTTTTTGTTTGTTTTTAGAGACAAGGTCTCACTATATTGCCCAGGGTGGTCTAAAACTCCTGACCTCAAGTGATCCTCCCAGAGTGCTGGGATTGTAGGCATGAGCTACCATGCCTGGTCGAACTTTGCTTTCTTGATTCCATACTTTCATCTACCACCTTGGAGACCTCTAATTTCTATCCAGACCTCACTTTTGAGCTTGAGTTATATTTTCATCTACCTTTTAAACATTTTTACTTAATATTATAGGGATGTGGAACTCAACATATACAATACTGATGATGTCTTATACCTAAAATTTTCTTCATCTTAGTAAATGACACCTCCCCACCCAGTTGCCTTATCCAGAAACCTGGAAGTCACTGTAGATGCCATTCCCTCTTGTCTCCTACCCTATTATTCCTGTCCAGTCTGTATCCTAAATAGATCTCAGATAGACCTTTCTGTTATAACACCTCCTCGTGTGGTTCTTTGAACATTCAAGAGACTTTTGTGTAGAGAAAAGAACACTTACAACTGTTTACACTTTAATGCTTAAATCTATTAAGCATACCTAATAAACATAGTTTTGAAGGTAATTTTTTCTAACATTTACCAATAATTATAAACTAAGTTAAATTTCTTGAAAAATTTTAAATTGGCAGGGCCTGTAGGTTCAGTGGGTAGGGCGCCGGCCATATACATCAAGGCTGGCAGGTTTGAACCTAGCCTGGGCCAGCTAAAAACAATAACAACTACAATAACAACAACACCTATAGTGTTGAGCACCTATAGTCCCAGCTACTAGGGAGGCTGAGGCAAAAGAATCGCTTAAGCCCAAGAGTTTGAGGTTTCTATGAGGTCTGATGCCATGGCACTCTACTGAGGGTGATATAATAAGACTCTATCTCCAAAAAAAAAAAGATTAAAAATTTTAAATTGTGGCTTGGTGCCCACAGCACAGTGGTTATGGCGCCTGCCAAATGCACTGAGGCTGTCAGGTTCAAACCCAGCCTGGCCCAGCTAAACCACAATGACAACTGCAACAAAAAGTAGCTGGGCATTGTGGCAGATGCCTGTAGTCCCAGCTACTTGGGAGGCTGAGGCAAGAAAATCAAGAGTTTGTGGTTGCTCTGAGCTATGATGCCACAGCACTCTACCAAGGGCAACATAGTGAGACTCTACCTCAAAAAAAGAAAAAAAAACCATTTGACACCTTTCCCTTGAATCTTTCATTTATGCATATACATACTTAAAAAAAAAAGTTTAGGCTCCGCACCCATAGCTCAATGGTTAGGACACCAGCCACATACACTGAGACTGGTGGTTTTGAACCCGGCCCAGGCCAGCTAAACAACAATGACAACTACAACAAAAAAATAGCTAGGCAGGGCGGCGCCTGTGGCTCAGTGAGTAGGGCGCCAGCCCTATATACCGAGGGTGGCAGGTTCAAACCCAGCCCCGGCCAAATTGCAACAAAAAAATAGCTGGGTGTTGTGGTGGGCGCCTGTAGTCCCAGCTGCACGGGAGGCTGAGGCAGGAGAATCACCTAAGCCCAGGAGCTGGAGGTTGCTGTAAGCTGCGATGCCACAGTGCTCTACTGAGGGCAAGAAAGTGAGACTTGATATCTCTAAAAAAACCAATAATAATAATTGGGTATAGTGGCGGGCACCTATAGTCTCAGCTATGTGGGAGGCTGAGGCAAGAGAATTTTGCTTAAGCCCAAGAGTTTGAGGTTCCTGTGAGCTATGATGCCACGGCACTCTACCAAGGGTGACATAGTGAGACTCTGTCTCAAAAAATTTAAATTATAATTATTAACACATTAGGACTGATTATTTTGAACATGCATGTCACTTTTTTTTTTGACAAAGAGTCTCACTGTGTCACCCTGGGGTTGAGGACCATGGCATTATCATAGCTCACAGCAACCTCAAACTCTTGGGCTGAAGCAATCTTCAAGCCTCAGCCTCCCGAGTAGCTGGGACTACAGGCATCTGCCACAACCCCTGGCTAATTTTTCTATTTTTCTTAGAGATGGGCTCTTGCTCTTGCTCAGATTGGTCTCAAACTCCTGAGCTCAAGCAATTTACCCATTGTGGCCTCTCAGAATACTGCTAGGATTACAAACGTAGGCTACTGCACCTGGCAACATTATTATTTTTTTTTTGTAGAGACAGAGCGTCATTTTATGGCCCTCGATAGAGTGCCGTGGTGTCACACAGCTCACAGCTACCTCCAACTCCTAGCTTAGGTGATTCTCTTGCCTCAGCCTCCCGAGAAGCTGGGATGACAGGCGCCCACCACAATGCCTGGCTTTTTTTTTTTTTTTTTTTTGAAACAGAGCCTCAAGCTGTCACCCTGGGTACAGTGCCATGGCATCACAGCTCACAGCAACCTCCAACCCCTGGGCTTAAGCGTT